CAAAACATGATAAGAGTTTTCATTACGAAGAATTCGCTAGTTTTTGTACTCAAAGAACCATTTTTCATGGTGTTTACGCTAGATTTTATATAGCAAATACGGGCGCAGGGCATTTTTGGCTTTATTACAATGTTTTCCAAAACCTAGTTTATATTTTTTTGAAATGTTTATATAGTGTTCTACTAATGTGAAAAAAATCAGACTAAGCAAATTTGAGCAAGATTGTTTTTTTGACATCTCAAATGTAGACTATAGCAATGCGCCCGCATTTGCTATATAAAATCTAGCGTAAACACCATGAAAAATGGTTCTTTGAGTACAAAAACTAGCGAATTCTTCGTAATGAAAACTCTTATCATGTTTTGRGTGTTCTCTAAAACCAATGAAATTGTTTTATTGGCTAAAAACAAAGATAAACAACCCTAAATTTACCTTTGAAAGATCTTCTTGTCAGCCGAACTTCCTCCACAAACGGTCCGCCATTGTTGACAGGCAGAGTAGTGCCCATGCAACGCAAGCTGATCGAAATCAATCTTCTCCTGAGTGCTTCTAGCGTTCCCTTTTGTATGCAAATCGCATAGACTTAAATGATTTTTGATTGCGATGGCTGCTTGTCAACTTAAACATTGCGCTTGATATCAAAAACAAATGACTAGACAAGCGAAACAAATGACTAGACATAGAACACAAGGGTCTTGGTGTAATGAAAATCAACTTGATGTATAAAAAGTACTGCTTGATCATGAAAAAATGCAACTTGAAGTTTTGTCACGTTTGGGCTAGCATATGAAAACGAATCTGGTTTTTACCTTTTTATCATTAATATTGAAACAATGAAACTAAAAGCCAGAACAATTTTTAAGAGACAAATTAACATACCATGCATGGGCAAACATCTTTGAAGGAATTTCAACTTCTCAAAAGCTTGCTTGATTGTTGTGGCTTCGATGTCAGATCAATTTATTTTTAGATTAAACTGTAGTTGCACAAAACTTAGCTGTCAGATCAATTCATCAATTTGTTCTGGCTTTTAGTTTCACTATTTCAATATTATAGAATACCAACAACTGTAATAAATTCAAACAAAGTTCCACAATAGAATAAATAGTGAGTTATGGTAAAAATGCGAGACCGCAGTGGAGCACATGGCTAGTACGTAATTTGTCAAACTTTAAGGAAGGGAGGGTGAGAAGAAAACATAAATAAACTTCGAGAAAGAATATAACAGGACCTTCCCTGTTCGTTCATCTAAAATATTACCTTACCACCTGGTTATTGAACACCTAATCGTGCGACCGTTGACTTCATGACCGATTATGCAACTTTGCGTGTGTTCTGCCTACTTTTACGCACGGCTGCACATTGATTTTGAGGGGGGTGGGGTTGGACAAACCCCCCAAAAAATTCAAGCACAGCTTAAAAGATTGAAAAAAAAATCGTGCATATGAAAAGTGCCAGAAAAAAAATTCAAATTATGTCCAAAAAAAATAAAAAAAAAAAACCCCTGCACAAAATAAATTACCCAACCCCCCCCCCCCTCAATAGTCTAATGGTCCGTCCCTAGATAGGGCAGAAAAATGACAAGCCTGCTACTTTCACGATTTCTTTATATTTAACTGAGTTTGATACTCCAAATTTTAAAGCGTTTCATTTGTGTCACTGGTGCTCGAAACGTGTGACGAAATCTTGTCGAACTAGAGTAAGTCTATTATTAGTATTCCGGAAAATGTCAGTTTTGCTGCTGATCAAAATATCACCTCTCTCAAAGTACACGGCTTTATATCTGAAATACGCATTCAACAAATTTTGGTCGCATTTGCTATTTGGTTGCTATTTGGCTCCAAAAGAACGTGTTTGCAAAATATTGAGCTTAAATGTCAGGGTAAAGCTGTCTTATGGCGAAAGGCCAAAAACCGTTTTTCTGCCCTGTCCCGTCCCTAACTCCTCACGTTGTACTCTGCGAGCAGAGGTTTTTTTCTGACCCTCCGTGGGATGGCTGGTCGACCAAGACCACTCACGTTGTGGGTAGTCAAATAATCGATAAATTCGCTCTTATCGATTTAAAGTATCCAATACATCGTTTTCTCCATGTCCTCGCGGATCTATTTGGACTGTTCATCAGTATGAAGCGACTTAGAAAGCTGAACTTTTGCTTGATCTTTTAAACTTTCAATGATCATGATATGAAAATTAGAAGAGATAACTAGCTAAAAACAAGTGTGAGCTGCGTCGGTGTTTCTAATGAAATAGTAATGATAAAAGGGTAAATTATACGCAGTGAAAAGGTGAAAAAAACTTACTGACGTTTCGGACGCTTCGTCAGAGTCCTTCGTCAGAGGGAAGAGAAAGAGGTGGTAGAAAGGAGTGTTTATATAATGTGAGTAAGACAAACCAAAAAAATCAAAAAAACAAAAGCATAACAATGAGAACAAGGTGGGCAAGGAGACGAAAAAAGAAAAGAAAAAACAAAACAATAAAAAGACAAAAGAATGGGCTAGCTTGATCCCGTTGGGACTAAGAGTGCCCAATTAGTTGAATAAGCCGCATTTAGTCTTGCGAAAATCAAAGAAAGACCGGAAAGGAATGAAGTTGGAAAGAGAATGGTTATGGAAATTACTTTGATTAAAATTATTGATGTACAACGAACCATAGTTAAACAGAGACATACACAGTAGAAAAACATCTTGATCCAGAAATTATGACAATAATAATTATATATAAACAGATATATGTTTAGGCAAGGCCGAATATAGTGAAAGTAAAAAGGTCTATTTTTCTGAATTTAAGACAGTTTTCATAGATTTCATCTGAAATTCTTTTAGAATAAACAACTAGTTGACGGTTCTGTTTATAATCGTGCTAGACTATGCTATGAGAAAGGCTATGGCAGGGAATGAGGAAGATCTGGGTTTTACTATCACCCCCGAAGATCTAAAAGACATCCTAAAGAAGTTCTGGCCATAGTTAATGAAGCGGAATGGTTTGGAAACTCCATGGAAGAACTGCTATTGTTTTGCGTTTGATGTTGAACCGTACCATCACGTGATACTGACCGTGCACAATGAACCAAAGCAAGTATGGATAAAAATACTCATTTCCTTATTATTTTCATGTATGAACATTTTGAAAGTGAAAACTTTCATTCGATGACCATAAACCATGCGAATGAATATTTCCGCGCAGATACAGTTAAGTTACTAGATGATAAATAAGAAAGCATGAAAAAAGGCAATTCCCTTTTCAATAAACAATTTGTATTAATCATATAAGATTAACTAACAAATAATAAGTATCTAAGAACGTTTTTTAGGGTTAAAAGCTTCTATATCCCGAAAACTATGAACAAACGAAGCAACGTTTCCTTCTCTCTGCAGGGTCAACGTCATGTAAGTAATATATACAGTATGAGTGGCTGTGTTGTATCCGATATACAAACTCGAGGCGTATATATACTGTATATACTATAATACTGTATATATTACTTATCAAACGTCTAGGTTAGTTCCTTTGTATTTCGCTAAAATTTTCAAAATTAAAGTGAATCTGGCCAAGAAAATCCAAGTTAAAGTTTATGCAAATGAACACAGTTTTGTAGTCAGATGTACAACACTCTTCACGGTCGTGATTTCTGTTGTGTTTTCCACATGAATTATTCATGAGTTTAATAGCAATGGATAAAGTCAAACAAAAACTTGGAACAATAGGTTTTCCAACCATTCCGCCCCATATACTGTTCTGGCTGACTTAGACTTTGCAGACGATATAGTGCTACTATTGAATGCAGGAAAGTAGTAAGTCTCGGTAATGCTAAGAAAACACTAGCTTACAATATCGATGGTTTTCAACCATTCCCAAGAGAATTAAATAACAAAAGACAATTCTTTTGTTAAGTTCCTCCAACATGGCCGCCGTGAAAAACCATCAATTGCGTATCCTAAATCATTATATACACAGCAGATGGCACTGAATTTGAACGGAAAGACGACTTCAAATATTTAGGGCCATGGGTTGATAGCTCAGAGAAAGACGGCGCAAGACAAGCACAGGCATGGAAAGCTCTCAATGGTATGATGGATATTTGGAAATCCAATATGAGTAAAGAATTGAAAATCAGATTCTTCACAGCCACCATTGAATCAATCCTACTATATGGGTGTGAGAGTTGGTCCTTGTCGAAAGCACAAGAAAAGTCGCTAAATGGGACATATACACTAGAATGCTGCAGAAGGCATTAAACGCAGGGGCGGCGGGTTGGTGTTTAGTCATTGTTTTACGGCGCATGCGTCTGCAATCAAACAAAACATTGTCATTATCACATAGCCTTAAATATAATCTTCAGTGCCCCCCCCCATTTTTGCAG